CGTTTTCACACGACATTCCTCAAACATTTGGTCACAGGATCTATTTTCTGCTTAATAACCATGAATATCCTAAGGATCTAGTGTTCTGTGAAACATTTTGAGAAACACCAATCCATGGGAGCTCTAAATAACTGAAGTGTCCTGAGTTCACAACACAATGTTTTAATTCATTTTAGTTTTTAAAATTTTAAACTTCTAAACAATATGGAGGATGGAGGAGGCAGTATTTTCAAATCAAATGGACACACCAACAAAACCAGGGTGAAGCGGGTCAAGTCTCTTACAAGGTGGGGAATCTCCATCTTGGAATGAAAGTCCAGCATTAAGACATGCATCCCCAAGTCAGGAAGAGAAAGCAGTCAGCAAGCATCCTTCTATCTGTCCCGGGCCCAGGCAAACCTCTGACAGGCCAATCCCTCTGGCCACGGCACAGAGGAGGGTCCCAACCACCCCACTCCTCCCATCTCTACACAGAAAGCTGCGTCTCTTAGAAGCAGGCCCCTGGGGGAAGGCTCCACTCACAGGAAACAGTATTTATAAGCTGTGCAATACTGAGCATTATGAACACTCTGAAAAGAAGCACTTAACGGGAACTTAAGAGCGTACAAGAAGTTCCAGGAGTAATTCTGGTGACTTTTACCCCTCTTCTTTATCTTCTGCATAAGCTCTGTGGCCAGAAGAGACCTTCCAAAAGCCATATATACATGCTGCTGCTTGAAGGGCCAGGGTCACTTTGGCTCTGACCCATGCTTAGCAGGCTGGTCAGAGGTGAGCAAAGCTGCGCTGAAAACCCAACAGGCCCAGGAAGAGCAGCCTTAGTGCTGGTGTCACTGCTTTCCAGGGAAAAGGGTATGTGCAAGGAATATACCAGCCTCTGCACAGAAAACCTCTTTCCAGGGCTCTGACGATTTTCTTTCCCTGTTGTCAACACTAGAAAGATCCAGGCAGCCATTCTCTCCATGAATGACAGTTCAGACTTTGGGTGTTTTAAAAAGTAAGAATAAAGATCCTTGCAGATGCATAATTCTTGAGGCTGGCATACAATAACCAAAGACTAGACAACAGTTCACAGGTGTAAGTAACAGAGTATGTTTTCCATGTAATACATACCACATGTTACATTTCTGAATGGGAATATCTACAGCAAGAAAAAACATCACATAAGTAGCCCTATAATATTGCCTGTATTTGGTTAGAATTAGTCCTACCACCCAACATGAATATTTAAAGACATAATGGAATTGCAGCACTTAAACATTAGTCCAACGAGTATCAAAGACTTGCTCCTTCAGAGAAGTAGCCTAAATTTAAATTCTAAATGACCTCCAACACTGGAACCTGCTGTTTTCCATACTGTTATGCCACTGTTTCTTTACAGTTCTATATCATCACTTACCCTTTACTGGGGCCATTTCACAGACCGAATGTTAGGTTTCAGGTTCAAAATTATACATCCTTTGTACCCTTAACATTCTATGATTCTGCTAAAAAAATACAACTAGTGAGCATAACAAAAAAGACGCAGACTCACCAATACAGAGAACTAGTGGTTATCAGTGGGGAGAAGAAAGCAGGTAGGGACCAGAAAAAGGTAGCGGATTTAGAGGTACAAACTACCAGGTATAAAATTAGCTATAAGGACGTTTTGTACAATACAGTGAATATAGCTAGCATTTTATAATAACCATAAATGGAGTATAACCTTTAAAAATCATGAATCATTATATTTTACACCTGTTATATAATATTGGACAGCAACTAAACTTCAATTAAAAAACAATCTTATTGGTTAAACAAACAAAAAACAGCTCTCTGACTCTATCCTCTTTTGACAGATGAGAAACCTGCTATTCTAAGAGTCATGAATCACGTGATGTGGCCAGTTGGCAGAGACAGGAAGAGAACTACCTCTCTCTTCTCCACATGGGCTTTTCCTGGTTAGTATTTTCCAATCCTTATCATTAAGTTGTTTAAATGCAACTAAATATGAGGCTGCTCCCTAATGGGGTCTCCAAATGCCAAAAGATGTAGATGAATGAAAAGAGCATGTGAATTTAGGCATCTTTTGACATCAAAACTACAGTGAAACTGAAGCTGCTTTCCCATTGAGAACAGACACATGATGGTCTCAGGAGGGCTTACTGGAAGCTTAGTCTGGGGCCGCTCACAGACACGCCTGCTGCCAGTCTGTAAGTATCTGCACCAAGCGCCACCAGTGCCTGGGAGAAGAACCTGCCCTTCACACGCCAAGAGCTCGCACTCATAAAAGGTACCATTATTTCTTCCTTTTCCAGATAGATCTCCAGGTTAAAGGATTTCACACATGGTCTAAAATGAATGACATGTGTGAAACACCCAGCCCTCCAGAGAAGCATCTCACCACAGCTCTCCAGCAAGACTATCTGTCAGCTAGACAGACCTGCTCCATTAACTCCACAACCAGACAGCGCCCACTTGGGCTCATGTGACCTTCAGTAAGCAAGGCAGGGAGAGAGGCCAGAGAAATACCACGACTATTGGCTTTTAAAAAAAAAGTCAAACCAAGAAAGTCATTATAGAACAAGTCTTGGGAAGCTGGGGGTGTTTAATTTGGGAGAAGTGGGTTCTGAGATTACACTCTGAGGCCTGTTTTGTGAACTCAAGAGCATCTTCAATAAAGTGACAGCCAAAAGTTAAATGTAAAAGCAAAGAATACACATCAGGCCACACATGACCCTGGCTATTTAGAGGAGCAAATCATTCCAAAGCAAGATGGAAATTCTAAAACCCTGAAACCAGACTCTCATAGCCCCTCACTGTCTTCAGTATGTTTCTTTTCTTGCTCTGGTCATACCGAGCTGGTTTACTTTTAGGAAAATTTACTTTCAGGTGACTAGGTTTTTTTTACTGAAGCATCTATATTTGCAAAAAAACTTCCCCCAAAATGTTTTGAGAAAAAGATGACAAATGGCCCTAAGACTAATATAATAATAATAATAAAATGTGTAATCTTAAAGTAGTTATTATCGAAATAAGAATGCTTTAAATATATTTTTAAAACTTAAATATTTAAATCTCCCTTAAAATATTTTTATATAATCTTTCAGAATTACACACACATGTGCGTGCATGCACAAACACACACACACACACACACACACAAAGAAAGATCTGCTATTCAACCAAAAGGAAAACATACACTTGAAACATCAGGAAAAAATTGCTACCACATTTTCTTCTTACTCTTTTCAGTGAACTAGAAAGTGGACTCCTTACAACCAAACCAAAATTAAAACCTACTTGGGTCTTTAGAAGCCACAATCACATTCCTCTTCTTAAAGGAAGGCAAACTATCCTTCTAAAAGCCAAATATCTAAATTTCTTGAGGCAAGTCTCCCCCAGCCTGAGTTCTGGCAGCATGGAAGTGTGTCACCCTACTTAGCTTCTGTTGCAGTCTTCTTACTATCTCAAGGGCTATTAAATGACTGGAACAGATGTCTGAGTGCCATTAGGGGCCTGCTTCTGCCTGGGAAAGTGGAGAAGCTGAGCATCACAACACTCTCGACATTCCCCTTTCCACAACTCCCCATGAGCTGGATGAGTTCACCATAGGAGGCTCCTGTGATTCCTGCACCAGGGCAGAGGGTTAAACAAGGCTCAGTTTTTTATGGCTTTGAATCTAATTTCTCTTTCACACCCCTTAAAGAGTGTAAGTAGCTTACTGATAGTACAAAAAAAAAAAAGAACTGAGACACAGAACAGAGCCCCTAAACATGGGAGCATCTGGGGGTACAAACCTGTAACAGGAGAAGACCCCAATGCTCTTTCTACTACTTGAAGAGGAGAGTTTAGGGGCAAGCTTGTGTATTACCTGCTACTCTGGCTCCAGTTCAGAGTGCTTCCCATTTTTATTATCTAGCCATGATGATGATAAGAACGATGATGGTTCTAGCCATTCCAGGAATAGAGATTCTGGGTTCAGCTGTGTGACCTTGGGCAGACCACTTAGCCTCTCTGAGCTTCCTGCTTACTCATTGTCAGTCAGTGTGTTTACCTAGTTACACCGAATATAGCCCACTGCATATTTACAAAGCACTTTCACACACTTCAGTATATTAGATTCTTTCAGTAACCCCATGAAGTAACAGGGGCTGTTATCCTCATTTTATAAAACTGGAAACCGAAGCTCAGAGGCTAAGTGACACACTCTAGATTGCAGCCAGAAAGCAGAAGAAGTGGAACTGAGCGCTCGACTTCTGATTCTAATCAAATGCTTTTCTTGCCACATCTTGTTGTGTCTTTTTGGTTCCAAGAGAACTAAAATGCCATAACTTTAAAAAAAAAATCTGTCACAATTCACAAATCATGTCACTATTTGGAACCTGACATCATTTATACATTGGGAAAAAGAAGCATGTGAGTAAATGCTCCCTCACATAAGAGCTTCTGTTTTCAATTTAATTCTTTCACTTTTTAAAATTGCTTAGAGGCTGAGTGCTAATAAAGATGGTTAGTACTACCAGTGAAAAATCAAACAGATGTTGCTTCTGGTGGAAAGAGTATAGAAAAGGTAGTCTACAGTTAAATTAGAAGCACCTAAAAATTGTTACTTTGTTGGAAAAAGAGACATAGAGACCATCTAAGAAAGTCCTCTGGCAGGGTCCTGAACCACGATGTTTATGTGGCCTAAGGTTCCTTTCCCCACTGCCCTTCTATCCTCATCCATCCATCCAGTAGGGGGATCTGTGTCACAGGTCAGCGAAGGTGACTGGATACAAAGAAAAATGAAACCTCTGGATATGTGTGTTGGTTTTACTGGCAGTAAAGCCCTGAGCTGTCAGCAAATCGTGGAAAGGGGCACCTGACAGCCCTGTTTGTTTTGCAGGTACAACTCGGAATGAACTGGTTGGGAGCCGGGTTACTCTGCACCATGTATATAAAAGCCAGCGTCCCCCACCACCCACTCTGTTAATACTATGCACTGACCTGCTCTGCCCACTTCCCCTTTCCTCAGTCAGCCTTCAGCCTGGCACCCAGCTCTGAGATGAGGCCTGCTTAGCACCAGTGAAGCTCCCCACGTTCAAACCAACAACGTTCTGTGTGGAGATGAGGGAATCAAAGTTAAAATCCAACCCATCAGCATCCATGAGTTCGCTACGGATAATGGACTCCATGTCACATTCCAAGCTCCCATTGAACATGTCCAGGTCCAAGTCGCTGGGGAACTTCTCAGGGCCCATGACTGGAAGGCTCGCACTGGCGGAGTACAAGGAGGGGCCTGAGAGAGAGTCCGAGAGGGTTTGCATAGACTGGTTGGCGGGAGACTGCTGCTGGTGTTTGGCTGACCCGAGGCTGCTGGAGTCGCTCAAGCCCATGTTGCTGACGGAATTCGACAAGGCACGGCTGCCACCGAGAGCGCCCTGGGTTTGGTGCTGGTGGTGGAGCAAGTTCTGATTGACCAAACTCCCCTGGTTAGGCTGGGCGGCAAAGGACATCATTGGGTCACTGCGAAGCATCACGTTCCGGCGGGAGTTCTGGGCAGACACAGCGGTGCTGGCCTGAGACATCAAGGGGTCCGACTGGGTCATCATGACATCGCTGTGGCTGAGTGAGTCCGACGTGAGCAGGTCCTGGAGTGTCTGGTTGCCGTAGTGCGACATGGAAGAGAAGGTGGCTGGCTTGTTCTCTTGGATGGTCTGCATGGGAGACTGGCGCAGGGAGTTCAGAGACGAAGGACCAAATACCGCGCTGCTGAAGGAGCTGGTGGGGGAGCCCAGGCCGGAGCCCTTGGTGGTGTACGGGAAGCTGGAGCTGCGCTGCATGAGCCCCCCCGGGGGCGACGGCTGGGATGCAGGGAGCGCGATGTTGTCCAGCAGGTCGTCCATGAGGTTGTCGGCCAGGCCGTCGTTCAGATTCATGGTGCCCGCCATGTCGGTCAGCCGGGGCAGCTCCACGGTGCACGGCTTGCTGACGGAGGGCGACAGGCTGGCCGAGCTGCTGTAGAGCATGGGGGACAGCGGGGCCTCATCGTCCTGGACGTCATCCAGCTCCGTGCTCGCCAGGATGGGCGACAGGCGGCCGCTGACTGTGCTGGCGTTGGAATTGGTGCGCGAGCGGAAGTCAGTCCACGCGTCCAGCTCATCGCTGCTGCGGGACGTGGGGCTGCCGGGCCACTTGGAGAGCTGGGAGGGACTGTCGTCTGCTGACTCGGGGGCGGTCTGCAGGGCTGCCTTCTTCTTGGCGGCACGGCCGCGGCTCTTGGTATACTTGTTGCTGTTGTCCATGGAGACGGCCCGCCGCCGGGGCGCCTTGCCGCTCTTCCCGCCGTCGGGGTTGATGATCCACCACGAGCTCTTGCCGGTCCCCTCATTCTGGACCCGCATGAACCGGCTGTGCAGTGACAGGTTGTGCCGGATGGAGTTCTGCGGAGAGAGAAGGGACAACACAGATGAGCCGCAGTAGTCCAACTGAATACCCAGGAGAAACCGTTACTAACCTGACGCGATTTTTAAAGCCGCCTCAATTTCACAGGCTTTTAAAAAAAGGCATTTGCATGAGTCTCCTTGGCTTGGGATTAAATGACAATATTGTAGATGGCATTTTCATAGTCAGGGTGTGGGAGATAGTTTCATATTCAGGAGATGCAGGGGACTGTAGGACTTCACTGACATTGTTTTTCTTAAATCCCCAGGTTTCGTTGTCCTTTCAGTAACTGTAACTTTAACTTTCTGTACTTCCTCTACTGAAGTTTGCACTTACAATGTATTACCACATCATCTCCCCCTGCATTTTGCAACAGACTTCCCTGGCTCTCTCAGGGTGATTCATCACCTACAGGGTCATTTTATTCCATTCTGGCCCCTTCCTCCTCTAGTACAGAGGCAGCAGCGACCTTTTCTGGGACACTTCTATTCAGAACTGGTGTGAATTTTTACCTGTCTTTTCTCTGACTCCATCTCCTCCTGCCACAATTTCACACCTGTCTCACAGGCATAAGAAAAAATGGCAGAGTAAGATTTGCTGAGTTGACAGAAGAGGGCAGGCAAGTCTCCCATTCAGAGAAATTCCAGCTAATTTATGCAGACACTCCCTCCTCAAGGCATTGTGATCTGAGCACAGGAACTTCCTTCCAAAGAGCACCTTACGGAAAGCGGAGGTGAGGGAGAGTAACTTTACAGTGAAGAAGAACCGTGACAGCTCAGCCCGGTCATCAAGGTCAACATCAAAGGGCCAAGTCAGGTTGATAATGTGCACTGGAAACAATGTGATGAAAACGGCACCCTGCCCTGTGGCCTTCCTTCCAAAGCCCATCACCTCATTCTAATCATGAGAAAAAGGGAAGACAAAAAAGTCCCAAAAAAGGAACATTTAAAAATGTTTGTCCAGTTCTCCTCAAAACTGTCAGACTCACATGGAGCCTAAGAGAAACATGCTGACTAAACACAACGTGGAATCCTGAATGGGATGCTGGAACAGAAAAAGCAAAGTATAAGGCAAAAACTAACGAAATCAGAATAAAGTGCAGACCTCAGTTAATACTAATAATGTATCAACACTGGTTTATCAGTTGGGACAAGTGTACCAAACTGATATCGGATATTAATAACAACAGGGGAAACTTGATGTGGAGAGCCAACATCAAGAACTTTCTGTGCCAGTCCAGTAACTTCTCTGCAAATCTAAAATCATTTTATATTAAAAGGTTTATTCTTAAAAAAAATAAAGATGAGGGCAAAATATCCTCAAAACCCTAACAATTGCTCCCATCTTGCAAGAATCCTCCTCCTGATTTAGGGAAGCTCAGTTAACAGAGATGACCCTGATCCAACCCTGTCTCTGTCACCGACCAACCATGAGGCCTGAGCAAATCATTTAGTCTATCTCCAACAACTTCCGTTCTCCATCTTCATTACAGCGATAGCATTTGAACCATCCCTCTCTGATAGGGATGACATAAGGATGATATATGATAATATACTTCAAAACCCAGTCACGCTACGAAGTCAGGGTGTTCTTACTGCCATTATAAAACACAGAGTACATGATGGACAGAGCTCATCGCCTGGGGAGGTCTCCCCTTCTATTCTGTAAAATACCTCGTGTGCTGTGAAAGATAGAAGCTGATGATGGCATCTGCCACATCTGGAACAGCACCGGCAGGTCAGATGAGTTTTTATTTGCAAGTTAAAGACAAAAGGTATTGCCTGCTGCTGTCTATTAAATGCAAACCATCCTAAAAGTTACCGTAGTTAAAAAAAAAACTGGCAATCACCAACTGTATTTATGTAGAAGATACAAATACATGTGTTCTACCAGAATGTTTTTAAAACACAGAAAGTCAGTGGGATTTCACCATACATAAATAACCCAAAATACTCAGGAGTGTTTCTGTGTATGTGTTCCCATGCAAGGAAGTCCGACAGCTCTGGCTGGGGAATGAGCATCACCAACCATGGGTCACAGCTAGGCATTTCTATGACAGGCGTAAAGACACGTTTGAGAGGACGTGCTGAGTATCTGATGAGCCAAATGGTGCCCAGGAGACTATATATCCAGCTTCCCTTTCACTCTTATGGTTTTTTTAAAGAATAATGGCATCTCTATTCATGGTTCAGAAATTACATTTCTTTAAAAAGTAAAACACTGTCTCCATAAAGATATGAAGCATGCTCTTAAAACTCACTCCACAGGGTTCAAAAAGCAGGCAAGTGCAAGGTGATTCTATTACTGAGTACCCAAGAGACTAGATGTATGAACCACAAACTTAAACTCAAGCTTCTTGTTGGGAAAAAAATACGGAGGTCCTGAAGCCCTGTGGGGGTGATGTGGACACTGATCGAACCACCCCTCCCATGGCCAGCCCCCGCTGCTCCAGATTTTGGAACGAGTTCATTCATACCAACACCCAGCAATAACAATGACCAGTCATAAATATCCAGTTATCCACCCTTTAAAAAGCATTTGTGGACAATTTTTTTTAATGTATTTTTAGTTTCACCAATTCCAAACCAAGCACAAAAGAAAATATAATCCTTTAGAGACCTCCAAAATGTCCTATATGGATGGTCATCTATTCTACAACTCTAACTCTAACGATGTGTGTGTGTAATTTTGTAAAATTATAAGCTACCACTGGTTAGAATTTGGAGAGAGAAGTTAAGCTTCTGTAGGGCCTTGTGGTAAAGGGGCTGGAATACAGAAGACAGACCCGAGGACTGTCAGACCCAGGCCCTAACTGCCAGGATGAGGAATGGAGCCTGACTGACTATAGGAGTCAGTTCCTGGACCAGCGCTTTTAGATCCCTCATCTCTAATCTTCTTAACAACTCACAAAGTCAATGCCTGCATCACATATATGAAGCCTCAGACTGACAGAGATTAAGTAACTTATAGAAGGTCACACAGGTTTAAACCGAAACTTGTTTTTCCAACTCCACTCCAATGCTTTCTCCCAACCTTTCCCAGATCTGTCACCAAATTATACAGAAGTCATCATTTAACTTCTCTGAGCCAACACCTAAAGAAAAACATTTAAGAAAGGTGAAGGATACAAAGGCATAATCTTATGACTATAATTTTGTGAAATAGTTAAGAGTAATAATTTAGTAGATCTCTCCTAAAAATGTTTTTAAAACAAAGTCTTTACAAAGAGTAATCCTATAGCCTGCATTTGCATTTCTTTACTAAGGGGGTCATCATAGCATTCATCCTAAAGAGAGGGCAGTGGTTACCATACAAACCCATATAAGCTACACTTATATGCACTCTGAACCAAAACCCAATTTATTAAATGGGTGATCAGCTTCAGTGTCAAATCTTAGTTCAACTCTTGCTTTAGAGGTTGCTAATAACAGAATATATTCCCTAAGGCATATCACCTACACAACACTCAGACAGGATTTTCCAGTTTCATTACTGAGACGATGCAAACAAAAACTGTGTCACAATCACCCTCATGGTCCCTAGCCTTCCATTTATAAAATCCATAATCTGAAGCGGTGGGGGGACACTGACAAAGACCCATCAGTATGGTCCCCTCTGTCCATTTCTAGCTCAAATGCCTCTCACCCTAATAAGGTCAGGTATCAGAAATGTAGTCTGATTTTTTGCCTCACAGGTCATGATTCTAATCACCAGGTTCTCTGACTAAGTTTTGGTGAAACAGGAAAAAGTAAACATACGTGCCAGAGGACATATCAGAATTGCAGTGTTTCCCAACACCTCCCTGATAATGGAAGTTAATGGTGATATGATTTCTGTAAGATTTCAAACTGCCCCTCCCTCACCTCAAACCCAGGAATGAAGAAGTGGAATTTATAAACAGAAACAAGCCAATTATAAAATCCTCTTAAAATGTGTAGTTTAAGTTCTCTAAAGACCTCTTCAGACGGGGGCTCTAAATTAAATTTCCAATGTATTTTGTGCATTTTAAACTATAAAACTGCTGTTAAAAATATTCTATGCTTTTCCACTAATTCATCTATCATACCAAATAGTCTATATTTGTAAGATATAACATTAGTTTGAGGGTTGGGAGCTGACAGAGAAGGAGGAACGGTTTGATAGGACCAGAGAGATTTTTCTAATCACATCTAAATACACATTTTGGGAAACATTGTGAGGCCCTTAAGGCTAAGGTGATAAGGTAAATATTACCAACCAGGACTCCCGCTGCTAGATCTCAGGCCATTCTGTCATCACATTTGTTTGCTAGAGGAGCCAATAAATTACTATAACCCCAACCCAAAACCATGTGAATAGTTCGGGTTATTTAAATGTACTACTAAAAAATTTTTCTTCCCCGGTGACTCAGACAGTAAAGAATCCGCCTGTGATGCAGGAGACCCAAGTTCAATGGGGAAGCCCCCTGGGGAAGGTAATGGCAGCCCACTCCAGTATTCTTGCCTGGAGAACTCCATGGACAGAGAAGCCTGGCAGGCTACAGTCTATGGAGTCACAGAGAGTTCGACACAACTGAGTGACTAACACACAACACAACTAAGAAATTCAGAGATTGATGAATTACAGTAAACTAAACATTTCTAGGAAGAAACTTTTGTCAGGGACAAAAATGCCAGCATTTCCCCACCCACACCCCAACCAGGGCCCAAAGATGTAGAAAACCCTGAAAGCAACTGTAGCACAAGTTGTCTGAAGACAGAGCAGAGATTAAGAATACCCTTTGATTCACTTTTTATGTCAGTCTTCTCTTTTACAAAATGATTTATACTGAGGCAAGGCCTACCCTGTGGCAGAAAAGAAAAGGTGTAGGTAATTGGCAGAACTGGCACACCTGTCCTGAGTGACTGCAGCTGCCATTGGTGGCCTAATCCTTCAAGAAGGGACGTGCAGGAGTGTGAAGGAGGAAGGTGTGCTGAGGGCGCTCGTATTTCACAGTTATGCTGACTGGCCATGTGGTCCA